CCTTCGTCCAGGCTGGACTAAAGCATTGGACCAAAGCAGGCAGAGGAGGAAAGCAGGTAACCAAGGTCAGTGGTTCTGAAGCAAAAGGGCAAGAAAAGCTTTGCCTATTGGAACTAGATGTCACTGCGCCGCCGTTTGCAGGCGCCTGGCTTTTTCCTGAGGATGTGTAGTCACCGCCTTATTCTCCGCCCACAAAGGCTCCTGGCAACCAATTCTCGGTGGGGAAGCCGTTACGTCAGCAGTTGCGAGGCAGACTTGGGAGGGTCTTCCAGACCTTCACCCGCAGGATACTGCAGAGATGCTGGCGAAAGATGAAGGCGTCAGGGAGATGGAAAAAAGACGAGGAGGAGTGAGAAAAAGATGGGAAAGGAAAATGTATACTCTTGTAAGATCCTACAGCTAGGAAAAGGCCTATGAAACTAAGGGGGTAAAAATTAGACATTTCATCGTCTATCAATCATTGAATCGCCATGGAATTTACAGACCAATTGAAACACACAAAAACTATGAAAATAGTGCCACAAAAGTAGAAAAGAAAATATCAATTTCCTCCTGGTATTTATACCACTAGAGGGAGCTCTAGAAGAAAAATCCCTGCAAGTGAGGGCTAATGTGAGCACTTACAACTATTTACTGGGTAACATTCACAGTCCACATGGACTCATTCATGTGATTCTCTTGACTGCCTTAGTGAGGTAGATGTCAGTATCCCCCACTTACAGAGGAGAAAGCTGAGCTATCATGTACCCACCTGTGCAAAGTATACGACTCCACCAGTGTAGAAGGCAGTGAACTTCATGGGCCTCCCACCAAAGCAGTCACAGAGGGCCCCTTGCTTAGAAGGGGATACTGTGTTTGGGTGCTAATGCTCTGTGTCACTATCTTGAAATTTTTAATAGTTTTATCTATCAATTTGTGTGTTGTAAGTGAAGTTCGATGGGGTGATAGAACACGCGCTGAGGGCTTGGAGCCAATGTTCAAGCTTGGTTGTGCCTCTCAGCCTCTCCAAAACTGGTTTTCAGATACTTCCAACTCCCCGAGGGAACCACTGCCACCCTCTGTGCTTCTCTCTCCTAGTAGGGGCCTGGGCACAGGGGAGAGGAGACCCCTTCTTGCCAAGTTGAGAGGCAGGACCCCAGGCACTTGGGAAGGCCTGCATTCACTCCCCTAAATACCCTTGCACCTGAAAGAACAGGACATGAAATAGCAAAAACAAAAACAAAGCCGACATGACCACGATGTGAAACCAAGATAGGGGAGAGAGGAGGGTACAACTCAGTGGTAGAGCACATGCTTAGCATGCAGGAGGTCCTGGGTGCAATTCCCCAGTACCTCCATTTAAAAGATAGTAGAGAACATAGAAAATAAACTGTGGTTACCAAAAGGCAGGGAGGGATAAATTAGGGGATAAGGATAAACAGACACATATTACTATATATAAAATAGATAAACAACAAGGACCTACTGTACAGCACAGGGAACTATATTCAGTGTCTTATAACAACATATAATGGAAAAGAATCTGAAAAGAAAAAATGCATATATATTACTGAGTCACTTTGCTGTACACCTGAAAGTAACATTGTAAATCAACTATACTTCAATTTAAAAAAAATTTAAGTAAGTAAATAAATAAACCTAATTACCTCCCCTTCTTAAAAAAAAGAAAGAAACCACAGAAGAAAGGAAAGACTCTTTTTCTGCTATTTGAACAAGGGGCCACATAGTTTTATTCTGTGCCCGGCCTCTCAAATGATGTAGGTGTCCCTAATAGACTGATATTTATTGTCAAATTATATGTAAGAGCAAAAAGATTGAAAATAACTGCCTAATACGCATTGACTTGCGCCCTCGGGTAACATGTAACTAGAATATAGGCACAAATAACTGGAATATAACTTTCATGAAAGCAAGAAACTTGTTTCTGAAACTTTTATAATCAGAGGCTAATATAAAGCTTGACACATAACATTTTCTGTTATGTATTTATTAATTTAAATTGACTGAATGCATGTGTATTTAACCTAGTAAAATAGATATTTTAAAAATCTAAATGTCCTGGGAAACTAGTTAAATAAGTAGGACACATTCATGCCATAAAATACTGTGTAGCTGTATAAAATAACAAGTTGTTCCTTATGTATTGACGTAGATTGTCTCCAAGATAAATTGTTGTTACCATTTATGTTAAAAAGGGAGGGAGAATGGATCAGTCCTCACATGCAGGGACTTTCTCCTGGGGCGCCCTCTAGCGGCACATATGAGGAAGGATTCAGAGAAAACAAGTTGGCTGAAAGATTTTTAAAGTATGTCATTTTATTCATTTTGGATTTGGAAACAGAAGCAAATGAACAACCAAATAAACAAATACATAAGAATCCAAGTTTAAAGTTTAAAAAAAAAGCTATATTTTGTATTAATGTGGAATTATGCATTAATAAGTAAACAACACAAGAAGCAGAACAGTGAATAATACATATTTATACATTATCCGGAAAAGCTTATGCATTTGGGTAACTGTTTAGGTAAGCTCCCATTTATTGAGAGCTTAATATTTCACATATGGATAGTGTGTTAATTAACATACACATTATCATTTTTCCATTATGTCAACTTTGAATACATGACTATGTACAGGGCCTGTTATCAGACAGGGCAAGAGATGTAGATTAAATGGAAATTACTGAGGAGCAAGAAACAACCTGAGAATATTTGCATTTGCTACACAAAGCTACTATAGAGCTTTTTTATTTTAATGGAGGTACAGGGGATTGAACCCAGGACCTCCTGTATCCTAAGCGTGCATTCTTCCACTGAGCTATTCCATGCCCCCTGTATAAAACTAAAGTAATATTTAAGTGTTGAAGGAAATGACCAGCCTGACCAACCACACAGGGCGGTCTAACCTCTTAGACACATCCACACCATGCTCCACGGCCAGCAAAACGCAGATGTTCCTACACCCGAATTTCTGTAAATGACACACCACTGGCTTCGTTTTTGCTGGTGGTCTCTGGCCCCTTCCCTTGTTTACTTCATCTTTGCCCAGAGACCATGTCATCCAAGGGTCAGCTTGCCCCAACTCCAGAAATCCATCCCTTTTCCAGAGATGTGAGGCAGTTGACGGCATGGAGGTGCGTGAGGCAAGCTCTTCAGAGTGAGTAGTGTAGTCTCTGTGAGTACCAGTGCTGGGGCTACGATGCCTGGCTTCAAATCCCAGCTCTGCCACCCCCTAGTGGTCTGAGCTTGGGCAGGTGACAATTTCTTTTGTGCCTCAATTTCCTTATCTGTCAAATCAGAATGATAATAATTTAATGTTTGATTCGCTGTCAGAGGACTAAACTAGTTAATACATGCAAATCACTTAGAACAGTGGCACCTAGAAGCTTTTAATAAGGTGGGGTGCTTTTGGTTTTGGTTTCTTTGTTTCAAATGCTGTAATTTCTCCAAAGTGGCTTTGGTTGGCTAGCCCCTCCCCATCTCTGCTCTCCCAACCCTCCACTCCATGTTAATCTCCCATCCAGCTGTTGACAACTGGATTAGTGCTGGACAATTTTGAGCACTCTACAACCCCAAACGCTGCCCAGGAAAGCATCTTGTGCATGGATCTCTTACCTGAACCTGAACTTGTATCACAGAGAAAGAACATCACAGGCTATTTTAGGTTCTGGAAGGAGAGAATCCCCACTGGAGAGGAAATCAGGCATGCACAGAGAGTCCTCTTCCCACCTAATTCATCCTCCAGACTTTGACTTTCACCCTCCAGAAGAGCCAGCCTTCTTGTGCCCAAACTCCGGCTGCCTTGCAGAGAAAAGTGAACACACAACTCCCAGACTCAGCTGACCAGAGTCCAGCCTTCTAGCGCCTCGTGCTCATCACAGACAAAAGCAGAAGATCTATGTCCCAGTCATGTTCCTAGCCCTTGAGCGGTGCCACCCGATATAATTTTTTTTGATGATGGATATGGTCTGTATGTGTGCTGTTCAATGCAGTAACCACTAGCTTTATGTGTTACCGAGCATTTGAAACATGGCTTCTGTGCAATCAAGGAACAGAATTTTTAACTTTATTTAATTTGAATTTAAATGGTCACTTGTGACCAGTGATTGACCAGTATTGGACAACATGGCTTTAAATTGTCCATCCTCAAAATAAATAAATAAATAGTCTGTCCTGACTTTTTTTTGGATGCAACATCCTTATTTTACAACTGGCAAATATCTGTATTTCTATATTTTTCAAACTTGGTGCTGGTACTAGTCTCATCCTTCAGTGATTAGCTGAGTCTGGGGAAAAGGATGATAAGGGAGAAGGTCATATTTCCATCCCAGATCTTACTCCCCCTGAGACACTGAGGAAACCAGAGAGAGTGATGCCCGCATCCTGGTGCTGGTCCATCCTCGGTGCCTGAGTTGACTGACAGTTGCTGACTGTGCGGATCGTCCTTTCTTCATGTTTGTCCCTCTGAGCACAGGTGGCCATCGACTCCTGACATTCAATTCATGATTTTCCTAAATATATTCCTTGGGACCGAGAAGCTAAGCCCAAGCAACCCATGACACCTCTGAACACAAGAAGGGGCATTTGCACTTGCAGTGGGAGGTCAGACACCAAGAAGAATGACCTGGTGATGACAGTTATGAAACAGTTAGAAACAGGAAACCAAGTCTAAATGTTCCTTCTTTAAAAAAAAAAAAATCCAACAAAGTTCCCTCTCCCTTGGCTAATACCTAGAGAAGAGGGGTTGAAGGGTACAGATCACATGGGCAAGCCTCATCCTGAGGTCCAGTGAACGGTCCATCCCAGCAGGTCAGATCCTAGAAGCCCCTTTGAAGGCTGGGCCACCAGGAGGGAGCGGGGGAGGAAGGCGCAGTACCAGGCAGCCTCTGCTCCGCAGCTCTGAGGGGGTGGGGCAGGCAAGCCCTGGTCATCCCCTCGTCTGTAGCCCTTTTGTGTAAGTGCCTGGCAAGGATGACTCGGGGCTGTTCCTGGGAGCACAGCTGCAGCTCTGCGGGGAGGAGGCAGGGCCCCCGGGCAGCACTGCCCTTCCCATCCTCCCCTGGGGCTTTTTTCAGCGGTAGGGGACATGTGCCCTGAGGGCCTCTGCTTAGCCTGACCCTGATGCAGGGGCTCCCTGTCCCCACTGACAGCAGTGATGGCAAGTTTAATGAGCGCCTCTCTGCCCAGCTGCCTCCCATCCCTCCTCCTCCTCCTCCAGCTATCTTCCAGCTCCGCAGGTAAGATTTATCTTTATTCCTGCCCTGGGAGTTCCTGAAAATAGAAAGACTAGTTCTCTGGGCTCACCTCCTTCAACTCATCCTCAAATTGCTATACAAGTTGTCTTTCCGAAATGTAGATGTGCTGACAGGGTTCCCCTCAGACACCTGCAGGGGTTCCCTACAGCCTGCAGAAGGGACCCCAACTCCATCACAAGACCTTAACTGAAGGCTCTTCTTGAACTCTCTCTTACCTATCTTTCCAGCTTCGGTTTGTCACCTATCAGATGGGGACTATCATAATAACAGCCTCTGGGAGTTGCTGTCAGGGTTCAGTGAGATGAGGTCTATACTGTGCTTAGTCATGCCTGTCCCATGGTAAATCTCCATAAATGTTTGTTTTGAGTCGTAGTGTCTTGCCATGTTTGGAGTTCTGTTCTGCACAATCGCGCACTAGTAAGTTTTTATAGAGGAGCTCTGCTGTCAAAAGACGTATTTCCAACCTTAGGGAGCCACCTATCAGAGGAGGCCCAGGCCATGCATGGCCTTGGGAAA